ATTTCTCGTTGAAGACTAAGTTTTTGCTAGCCAAGTTTAACAAAGAGATCATCCGCATTGTAGTTTAATGGAAAGAGATTTATTGCAATTCCCCCATACGACACTACAGTGATCGACATGAGGTTGAACTAAAGCATTATAGACGCATAGGAGCCTTTCAAAAGGAACAAAAGAACTTCTTCTCTTCAAGATGTCAATGCAGGAGGTAGTATAGTAACTCCTTAACTGTGAAATCCACTATACCAAGAAGCGATCCAAGCAAGACCGGATTAAGCTGAAAACCCAGCTTTTGAAGTTCTCCGCGACGTTTGTTCATAGCCCATATTAGTATGCTCGATATTAGACTGGAACTAGCTGGCCACTTAGGCTAATGCGGAACAAGCTACACATGCATATCTAAGTAGCTGGCATAATGTACTCGAAAAGCAATTTTCGTGAATGTGATATTTTTGCTCAGTTCTTATTAAAATTCACTACACCATGCAGCAACCCCCTCCCCCTTCCCCATACAACAGGCAGAATGTGCGTTAGAATGCTGGCAGCCCGTTTTTCTCTCTAAGTCTAGCAGCGAGAATGAGGCGAGACGGTTTATACGAGACGGGATTGAGACGGATTTCCTGCCCATACCGCGTTTTTGAAATCAGCGCCTGTGTCGTCATCTAGCTGCAGATTATACAACAATCATGTCAAGGACACTCAAGGTGACGGTAGGTGACGCGGTACATGATTTCTAAGGGTAATCATGTCGAGTTCGCGCGCATTGTGTTGCTTACCGTCAGTGAAGAAGCAAAAACATGACTTCCATTTTTTTCGTTCAATGTATAAGGTAAGGGTTATTGGCCTCAGCCTTCGGCTTCGGCTGATAACTCCTACTTGATTATTAACCTTAATTATTCTGGATATGACAAAAACCTCATCCAGTATTTGCCTATTATCTGTCGGATTTTCTGTTGTCAGGGCAAATCGAAAAGTTATTTTTAATTTTCCTTTTCCTTTTTCCGAGAAAATTGCCCTTTATATAAAATTAACTTCCGTTTCAAAGGTCAGTTTAAACCAATCAATATCAAGGAATGAGCCTTTTGTCAGCTGCAACTGAATAAAAGAAAGCTTCCTTTAAGTTTACGCCCTTCTCGCGCTTAGCACAGTTGCGTTGACATCGATACTGTGAAACTCAAACAGTCGCTATTCAGTGACAGTTCACGAGAAGTCAGTCAGTTTTTCCG